GATAAATGGACTCCCGTGCATGCATGGGAGTTCTGCCATTCTAGCCACCAATCAAGATGGCCAAAGACCCTGTACCTGGATGAAGCCCTACTCCAGGTAACAAGTGTTTTCTTCTTTTGGGAAAAGGTTAGAGGGCCTATTTCATGAAAATGCATTCCAAGTAGAAATCCAATTATTTTCCATGTGACTGGTTCACGTATATGAACTGCAGGTTAATATAAAAGGGAAACTATAGGCAGGGGTGTGGACATTTTTGAAAAAACTACTTGTCCAAGGGCTAAAGCGGGGGCCAAATCTACTTGTCCTTCATAACAATCTACTTGTCCTAATACAAAAAATAAAATAGTTTTAATTAAAACTAGGGATGCACCAATACCGCTTTTTGGGTATAGAGTACGAGTACTGATATTTTGCTTTCGGTACTCACCGAGCATCTTTGCTTCCGTTTGCATGGAGCAGGCTTCCCGGGCAATCAGGAAGCCGGGCAGCGGGTAATGAGATGCTACCCGGCTTCCTGACTGCCAGGGAAGCCGACTCCATGTTGTTTGGCCGGCTTGATTGTGAATGGCTTGGAAGCCGGTTTCCCGGCCAATCAGCATCGATCCAGCTTCCTGGCCAATCAGGAAACCCAGCGGCGAGTAATGACCTAATTGGCCAGGAAGCCGGCTCGATGCTGATTGGCTGGGAAGGTCATTAGTCGCTGCCCCGCTTCCTGATTGCACGGGAAGCTGGCACCATGTTCCCCTACGGCACTGCCGGTCAGAGGAAATCTTCCTCTGACCAGAAGTTCCGGTATTGGAGAAGATATCGAGCATTTGGGTGAGTACAAGTACTTGCCCAAATACTCTGTATCTGTGCATCCCTAATCAAAACTGTATTGGTCTGTGCTAAATAGCGCTTCTCATTGGTCAGCGTGGTCCCCAGACCACGCTGACCAATGAGTGCTTGCAATTTGCGAGCGAAATTAAAAATGCATAGGGCAGGACTGCGATGCACAGTACGGAGTAAGGACAGTACACCTGTACCGGCGGAGGGTAAGGACTGCTTGCCGAAAGGTAAGTATAGCCGGGGGGTGGGGGTTTTTGAGAGAGACGGGGGCCAGATTTGATCGGGTAAATCCATTTCCCCATATTACCTGGGAAAGTGAACTTGCCCTTTAATGCACATTGTGCGAGTGAGAGAGTTCTGCTGCCTCGCTACCACAATATTGCACAGTGAAATGGTGGCAGCACTCAACGCACACACACAATGTCCTATGCGTGCGTTTATTTGCATGCAGATGGGGGCATCGGGGGTTGATTTTCATTTTTTTTATTTTTTAGATTGTCACTTTTTAAAAAAAATATAATTAATTATTTTGTACTTTTTTATAACTTTTTTAAAATTTTTTTACCCCCCCCTAATTTTATTCCTATCACATGGGGATTTAAAATTCTCCAAGTGATAGTTTGGAGGTGACAGTCGTTGGGGTCACCACAACTTGGCAAATGTTACCAAGGGGTCCCGGCCCTAGAAAGGTTGAGAACCACTGCTATATAGACTCACACCAAGGCATGTGTTACCATGCACACTGCAATGCACTCAGGACCGTCAGAATCCAGCCTTATTAATACAAGGTGAGCATTGTAAACACCCCCGTAACTGTTATATGGCTTCTCCCAATCCCTGCCACTTTTGCTGCACACTGTGTACTGTTTAGTAGAAAAATAACAGATCTACTGGCAGGATTAACAGGTAATAAAACTGTTACAGGGGTGACTCAGGAAAATTTAACACTTTGTAAAACTGTAGGAAAACTGTCTTAACACTATGTATGTCGTATGTTTTATTTTCCATAGTTCCACTTTAATAACAATTTTGTTGTCTGCTCTGTAAATTAAATAAGATACCACAACATAACAATGATCTTTGCATTTATTGCGAATAATTGGAATCATACATGTTTCATTGGCACAAAGCAACAAATGTATGGTAAAATATGGTAAAAGTAAGCACATTTCACTATTTGTGTTATGAACAGCTACGTACCACCGGCATGATCTCAGCTTAGGTAGCCTGCTGGAGTGGTTTAATGGAGCAACAATATTACAGAAAAGGTAAACCTAGCATTGTGAAATGTAAATCCTTTTATGCATAGCTATATATAAGCTACATGTGTAAACCTTACATATGGCAAATGCCATACAATGCTATCAAACTCAATTACATAAAGTATCTGTAGCCACCGTGCACATGTACCACTGAACAGGAAATGTATGTATATTTATTGAGATTTATTTTAATGTGCAGAAAGCAATGGCAATGGGACTGGAACATTAACCTGCAGCACGTTGAAACAGGTCAGCTTAAAATAATTCCTGATCCGTTATTAAAGTGTATTTCCCCTTTTGGGATACCACTTACTTTATATCTGTTACATGTTTTCATTTACGAAACATACCTTTGGAAAAAAAAACAATGCTGCTTATTTTTTTTTTAATTGCTTTTTCTTTGCTGAAAGATCTTAGATATCTTTCCCTATGTAATGTCAGGTTGGGGGTATAAAGTTTTGTGAAGTTATGTTCACATATTTAGCCCTGTCTGTGCTGGCAGAGTTCATTATCAGCTTTAACTAGATTTGAACACGGTCTGTCCTAACAATGGGTTAAAGATCTCAGGAGTTCTACATTGTATGTTATTACACTAAAAAGGTGTCCCTGCCTTATCTGCACATTTGCATCTATTCGGGCAATAGAAGCTGCCTGTAGAGTCCTTTGTTTAATCCTGCTTCAAAGACACAGCTAAACAGATATGAACTTTTTTTTGTTATTTTTATGTATGCTGTTTTTACTAAATACATTCAAACATATAGTGGGGGTTCCTCAAATTTGACTGCAAAGGGGGAAACACACTTTCAGCATCATAACTGCTTTTGCAGCATGTTGAAAATGTTCTGGGGATGTTTAAAATATATACGCCTATAGCCGTTCAATGGACCTTCTTGCTTTATCAATTATAAATCAACTGACACTACTGGTGGGTACACGGGTTCACCCTTTCCCAGGAAATGCTTTGCCCTTTATGAAAGAACAACAGTAAAACACTAAAATGTTACCTTTAACAAAAAAATATTATTTTATGAAAACCCGGCTATAGCTCTTAGGGATGATATTCATTCAAAGGTTCTGGAAACAACCTTCTCTATCTATGAATTATAATTTCCCATGGCTTAATTTTATAAGTGCATTATTCCATATCGATAGATTCCCTAAACCAGAGAAAAGTAGAAAAGTTGAAGTGTGCGGACTGTGGTCATTTTTCTGGTCTATGATTGGTAAGCATAGTAAATCTTTATACCTGAGTTATTCTAACACTATTAGAGGTAGAAACCTGGGCTCTGCTCATACAGCTATATAGCTGCATCACTTGTCTAGGTCAGGCAATGGCAACTTCCATCCTTCAGCTTTCCTGTTGATTTAATCTTTGTAACTGAAGGGCCTTACCATTCCCAAGTGTGACATAGGCAGTAATTTGAAAATTTAATATAACTATAAAACGGATGCATAACCTACAAGTGCGTACTATGTATCTGAAAGGCAACACTAACCTCTAAGTTGTAGACATGGTTTAGGGTTGTTCAGATACAAAATATGCAGAAATCTATATTGTACCAATTTAAGGTTGTTGGTCATTACTTCTTTTTTTCCTAATAAGTAACATACAATTATGACTTGAATTATAATTTCCCATGGCTTAATTTTATAAGTGCATTATTCCATATCGATAGATTCCCTAAACCAGAGAAAAGTAGAAAAGTTGAAGTGTGCGGACTGTGGTCATTTTTCTGGTCTATGATTGGTAAGCATAGTAAATCTTTATACCTGAGTTATTCTAACACTATTAGAGGTAGAAACCTGGGCTCTGCTCATACACTAATATAGGGATGCATAACCTACAAGTGCGTACTATGTATCTGAAAGGCAACACTAACCTCTAAGTTGTAGACATGGTTTAGGGTTGTTCAGATACAAAATATGCAGAAATCTATATTGTACCAATTTAAGGTTGTTGGTCATTACTTCTTTTTTTCCTAATAAGTAACATACAATTATGACTATATATTCTATTTTGCATCCTGTTAGATAGCAGCAGCAATATAAGGTCTCAGAATTCAGCACATAGACTTTGCAGCCACTATTATCCATTCCAAGTCATTAAATGCGATTCCACTTCTTATTGGCAGCAACCTTCCAAGCTTCAATGCAATGGGCAAGTGCAATTTGTTCGGGAAAGTCATTCTCCAGTTCCAGGAAGGAAACACCTTTATCATCAAGAAGGGGAACCAGCACCTCCTTTAAGCTGTAATACAAAATGTTATTATTAGTATCATTTGGTGATGGAGGGAAGTGGGGGATATTCTAGACATGTGATCATATTTTTAATAATGCATTTCCACCACCTTTGTTGTCCAAGCCAAGTCATCTGGTAACAGTGTTATGACATAACTTCCACCCCTTGTTTGGTAAAATGTTTACGGCTCCACAAAATGAAAATAAACAGCAAACACAGTGAAGATTGGATGTATGATTACACAAGAGGACAATGTGTTTTATACATGTGAAGGTAATGATTTCTATACATTTCAGGGGTCATTATGGGAAAACCTTGTAGAAACAGTTTTTAACATTTATTAATTCCACTTTGTTTTACAACAGTATCGGGGAGGAGATTGGTCTTAGCAGATCATGTGACTGCTGTGGGGCGAAAAAGTTTAGATGGCCCAGAATCATGTGGACACACTGCGATTTATGCTGGTAGTAAAAGCATTTGGAAAATATATATGGATGAAATTATTGTATGAATAGTTTGGGGAACTGTATACAATTGCTATGAAGATAATTAGTATTCCGTGTCAGGAATTTCCTTAGTGTTGGATGTTAGATGTACAGCCACAAATAGTTTTCCTATGCGGCCCCATTACACATAGCTATAGCATTGCATGAAAGATAAAAACTAGTTGGTAGAAAAAGAAAGACACATACACTATACACAACTAAAGCCAGACATAATAACTTTGTGCAGGCGTGAGCAGAATACGGAGAGGGATGTCTATTGGCTGACCATAAGATAAACATTCACGCTTCCCTTGTCAATGTACAGGATTTAGAGGATGGAACAGGGAAAATGGGAAATGAGCATATACAGAAATCTCCCAATGTTGTCTTATCAGGAGAAAATTCCTGAAGAATGTTTTCAAACCTGTCTGACTGATTTGCCCTGACAACGGTCAGCTACGGTGTGTCTACTGCTGTCATTGACATGGCCTGTCACCTGATTTAGATGAACTCTAAGAAATACTGTTTTTAAAGCTGAATCCAGGATAACCAAATATTGTCTAAAGCATGTATGTATATTCTGAGAATTCACTCCAAACATTAGTAGTGCATTAAGGACAGAGTCCTCGCGCTTACCACATCTTTTTAAGGGCTTCTGTGCCCACTTTTATTACTTCAAACATAAAAGTCTACTCAGGTGTTTCCCTTGCAGGGGTCTTCAAACAAAGTACAGCAAAATAATGATTTTCTAAGTCTCACCGACTTCACGTTATCACCAAAAAAACCTCTCCCACACGGGCTGTATCTAGCTGACGTGCCACACAGGCTGGTTCCAAGATGGAGTCCTCCTGACTCCTGGACAGACACCTCCCTTGTCTTCCAGCTGGAACCATGAACATCCACCAGCACCCTTTCCATAAGGGCTGTGCACAGGTGTGCAATCATTAGGTGCTCAACCCTACTAAACCACGGACCCAGGACTAGAGATCTCATCCCTCTCAATTCTATTAGAAATCTCTCAGTTCCAGGATCCCATGCCAAATCCAGAAAACTTGGAGAGAACTGCAAAGCAAGATCTTTTCCAGGAAAACATTTGGTTTCCTGGAACTGCTCAGCCCCTCTGGGTGACTGCAACACCCAGTTTTAATGTGGGATTGCCACACTATATATATATATA